TGTCTCTGTGTCACATTTTGATAACTCTTGCAATATTTCAAACTTTTCCATTCTTACTGTATTTCCTATGGTGATCTGTGATCTGTCATCTTTGATGTTACTATTGGTGCCGCGCAAGTGGTGGAAACAGCCAGAGAACTAGTATTATAAGAAGAGCCTGAAATGTGACTGAATTGCTTCAACCTCATGATGACAACTTGAACAAATGAGGAGTGGCTTCTTACAGATGAGCAAAGGAAATGATTTCTTGAAATGGAGTCTATTCCTGGTGAAGATGCTGTGAAAATTGTTTAAATGATAGCAAAGGACTTAAAATAATCTCATAAACTTTGTTGACAAAGCAGCAGCAGGTTTGAGAAGACTGACTCCAATTCTAAAAGGAGTTTAATGGTGGGTAAAATGCTATCAAACAGCATTGCACGCTACAGAGAAATCTCTCATGAAAGGAGGAGTCGATCAATGTGGCAAATTTCATTGCTTTCATTTTAAGAAATTGCCACCGCCACCCCCAGCCTTCAGCAACCACCATGCTGGTCAATGGGCAGCCACCAACACAGAGGCAAGACCCTCCTGCAAGGTGACAACTTGCTGGAACCACGCCCACAATGCCGCCGAGGTCTGCCGGTACCGATTCAATGCCCGGTACCGATTCAATGCCCTGGTAGTTGCAGGTCTGTTCAGTTCGGTTCAGTTCAGTTGCTCAGTCGTGTCCAACTCTTTGAGACCCCATGGACTGCAGCATGCCAGGCCTCCCTGTCCATCACCAACTCACGGAGTTAACTCAGGTCTGTTTAGATTCTCTATTTCTTTGTGATTTAGTCTTACTAGGTTTTGAGTTTCTAGGAATCTTTACATTTCATCCAGGTTATCCAATTTGTTGCTGTTCAATTGTTCATAGTACTCTCTTATAATCTCTTTTATTCCTACAGAATCAGTAGTAATGTCTCCATTTTCATTTTTTATTTTTGTAATTTGAGTCTTCCGTCTTTTACAATTCATCCAGCTAGCTAAAAATTGCCTATTTTTTAAGCTCTGAAAGGAATCAACTTTTAATTTTAATACTTTCCTCTATGTTTTTCTATTCATGATTTCATTGATCTCTGCTGTAATCTTTATTATCATCTTACTGCTATTAGCTTTGGTTTGGTTTATTTTTCCCCTAGTTCCTCACATTGTAAAGTTAGATTTTTGATTTGAGGCCTTTCTTGTTTTTTCCCAATTGAATTGGTATGTTACTGGCATAAACATTGTGTTAGTTTAAGGTGTACAATTGGACATGGAACAACAGACTGGTTCCAAATAGGAAAAGGAGTATATCAAGGCTGTGTATTGTAACCCTGCTTATTTAACTTATATGCAGAGTACATCATGAGACAGGTGGGCTGGATGAAGCACAAGCTGGAATCAAGATTGCCAAGAGAAATATCAATAACCTCAGATATGCAGATGACACCACCCTTATGGCAGAAAGTGAAGAGGAACTAAAGGGCCTCTTGATGAAGGTGAAAGAGGAGAGTCAAAAAGTTAGCTTAAAGCTCAACATTCAGAAAACTAAGATGATGGCATCTGGTCCCATCACTTCGTGGCAAATAGATGGGGAAACAATGGAAACAGTGTCAGACTTTATTTTCTGGGGGCTCCAAAATCACTGCAGATGGTGATTACAGCCATGAAATTAAAAGACGCTTACTCCTTGGAAAGAAAGTTATGACCAACCTAGACAGCATATTAAAAAGAAGAGACATCACTTTGTCAAAAAAGGTCCATCTAGTCAAGGCTATGGTTTTTCCAGTAGTCATGTATGGATGTGAGAGTTGGACTATAAAGAAAGCTGAGCCCCGAAACATTGATGCTTTTGAAGTGTGGTGTTTGAGAAAACTCTTGAGAGTCCCTTGGGCTGCAAGGAGATCCAACTAATCCATCCTAAAGGAAATCAGTCCTGGGTGTTCATTGAAAGGACTGATGCTGAAGCTGAAACTCCAGTACTCTGGCCACCTGATGTGAATAGCTGACTCATTTGAGAAGACTCTGATGCTGGGAAAGACTGGGGGCAGGAGGAGAAGGGGACGACAGAGGATGAGATGGTTGGATGGCATCACCGACTCAACGGACATGAGTTTGAGTAAACTCCGGGAGTTGGTGATGGACAGGGAGGCCTGGCGTGCTGCGGTCCATGGGGTTGCAAAGAGTTGGACACGACTGAGCGGCTGAGCTAAATGGAACTGAAGATGTACAACATAATGATATGACATATGCAAGTAATGAGAAACGATTATCACACATTTGGTTAACATCCTTCACCTCACAGTTACATTTTTTTTTCTTGTTATGAGAACTTTTTAAGATCTACTGTCTTGTGTGCTCAATTGCTTCCGTCATGTCCTACTCTTTGCGACCCCCTGGACTGTAGCCCACCAGGCTCCTCTGTGCATGGGACTCTCCTGGAAAGAACACTGGTGTGGCTTGTCACTTCCTTCTCCAGGGGATCTTCCCGACCCAGGGATCGAACCCAGGTCTCCCACACCGCAGGTGGATTCTTGGCCACTGAGCCCCCGGGGAAGCCCTTCTGCAGTCCTGGTGCCTTTCAAGTATACACTGTGGCAGTGTTAACAGCAATCACTCTGCAGTACCCGACGCGTCCAGAGCTTGTTTATCTTGTAACTGGAAGTGTGCGCTTTGCGAGCACGTTCATCACGTTCTCCAGCTCCCACCTCAGACCTTTGGCAGCCGCCTGTGGGCTCCTTGTGTCTAGGAGCTCAGACTTTTTTAGATTCCATGTATAAATGAGATCACAGAGTATTCACCTCTCTGTGTGATGTGTGCCACTTAGCGTAACTCCCTCAAAGTTCATCCACAGTATTGCATGTGGTGGTGTTTCCTCCTTTTTATGGCTGTAATGTTCATTGTGTACATTTTTATCCACTCATCCACTGGACTGGACACTTGGGTTATTTCCATGTCTTGGCTACTGTAACTAATGCTGCAATAAACATGGGGGGTACAGATATCTTCAGTGTATAACTTTGTTTCCTTTGGATATATAGCAGAAGTGGAACTTCTGGATCATATGGTAGCCCTATTTTTAATTTTGGGGGAGACCTCTATACTGCTTTCCATAGTGGCTACACCAATTTATATTCCCACCAATAACGTGTAAGGATTCCCTTTTCTCTAAATCCTTGCCAGTACTTACCTCTTCTCTTGCTTGTGATAACCATTCTAAGTATGAGGTGATAGCTCATTACATTTGATTCGTATTTATCTGATGATCAGTGACGCTGAGATTTGTCTTTTAAGGCAAGCACTTATGACTGTAAATTTCCCCTTTAGCACTGCTTTTGCTGCATCCTGTAAGTTTCCATGCCAAGCTTTCATTTCCTTTCATCTTTGAGTATTTTCTCATTTTACTTGTGAGTTCCTTTCCTTGATCTACTGGTTGTTTAAGTGTGTGTTGTTTAATTCCCACAATTTGTGAATGTTCCAGTTGACCTTCTGTTATTGATTTCTAACTTCATCCCATCATGGTCAGAGACGATGATCTGTACAATGTCTATCTTTTAAAATCTATTGATTCTTAATTTGTGGCCTGACAGATGGTTTATCCTGGAAAACATCCAATGAGCACTTGAGAAGAACCTGTATACTGTTGTTGCTGGATGGAGTGTTCTGCATATGTCTATTGGAAAGTGTTAGTTATTGTGCTATGTCCTCTATTTCCTTACACATCTTCTGTCCAGCTGTTCCATACATTACTGACAGTGAGATATTGAAGTCTTCAGCTATCATTACTTAACTGTCCATTTCTTCCTTCAGTTCTGATAGTTTTTGCATCTTACATGCTATGGTCTGGCAGAAGCATAAGGGTTTATAATTATTAAATCTTCCTTCCTTATTGAGCTCTGATTAATATTTAATGTCCTTTGTCCTTGCAGTCTTTTTTGGTTTGGAGTTTGCCGCAGCATGGCCACCCCTGCGCTCTTTCAGTTACTGCTTGCACAGAATACCTTTGTCCATCCTTTTCCATCCTATTAATATTTGTGTCATTAGATCTCAAGTGAGTCTCATGTAGACAGCATATAGTCAAGTCATGAGTTTTTGTTCATTCTGCCAGTCTCTGTGTTTTGTTTGGAGAGTTTAACCCACTTACATGTAATGCGATTACTGATAGAGAGTGACTTACTTTTGTCATTTTGCTGTTTAGTGCTTTCCACCCCCCTCCCCATTTCCTGCATCACTGTGTGTGGTTGCTTTTTGTGCAGAAACACTCCCATTCCTCCCTCATTTCTGAATGTTGCATTCTCGGCTCTGGCTTTGGCAGAACGTCATCCTTGAAGGGAGCTCGGTGGGCAGGCACACGCAGGTCACAGAGAGCAGGCTGTGTGCTCTCTGAGTAACACCCAGGGTCCAGGAGACTCCACCAAGGGCTCTGCATCAGTGGTGGCTTACTGGCCAAATGGAAGTGTGGACGCATTGTACGACCAGGGTGTCTCACAGCACCAAAGCGCACACAGCAGCCCCAAAGCTGCAAAGAGTCCAGTGAGCACACTGCCCCTTCCAGAATAATGCCTCCCACGAAGGCAGGCACGCCCCAGCCCCCAGAACCCGTGACTATGCAACCGTCCACATCAAAAGACTTGGCAGATGTGATCTAAGGGAAGGAGCAGGAGATCCAGATTATGAGGGTGGGCCCAGTATCGTCTCCAGGATCTTCCCAAGGGGAAGTGGGAAGTGGGGGGATCAGAGTCAGAAATGGAAGCACAGGTGAGAAGGGGAAATGACGAAGCCCTGCCAGTGGCGTTGAAGACAACGGACGCAGCCACAAGCCAAGGAATGCAGGCGCCTCCAGAAGCCAGAAAAGGGAAAGGAGCGGCTTCTCCCTTGGCGCCTCCAGGAGGAAGGCTGCGCTGAAGACTCCTCGCTTTGAGGACTTCTGGCTCAGAACTGTAAGGTGATACACTTGCGCTGCTTCAGGTCACTGCGCTTGTGACCATCTGTTGCAGCAGCCACAGGAACGTCTGCATGAGGGGTGTCCTGCAGGCCACCTGACCGTGACGATGCCGAAGGAAACCCAGAGCCCCGAGGGCCTCGAAGACTGCCGGCGGCGGAGCCGCAGCGTCTCCTGGCTGCACTTCACGTGAGCACACGGTAATGAGAACTAGGTGCACTGGAAGCTTCCGCATCCACTGAGCCTCCATTTCCCAGTGTGCAAGCTTCCTGCCCCTGGTGCGGGCACATCTGTGCTGAATTACTTTTGTGAAAAAAAAAAAAGGCATGTGGGGACTGTGGCACGTTAATAGTAGCTTGCAGTTGAGATCGTTTCAGGCCGTGCGCCACTCTGGAGAAAATGAATTGCAGCAGCAGAAGGTCTGGGGGATCATCCGTGCACACAGGCTCCCCCGAGCCGGCCTCGCAAGCCGCCTCTGTCTTGTCAAGCGCCTCCCACTGCTGGTCGTGTGCAAACCGTTTGCATCTTGTTAGAATCTGATCCGGCTTGGGTTTCTTTCTACAAAGCCCTTGATGGAGACAAACCACGGCTGTCTTGTGTCAGCTGCTGTCTCTCCGCGGAAATCTGCTCCTCTGGGCCATGTCTCTCCCCGCAAGTGGCTGCTCCTTTGTGGCTGACTGCACGTGGATGGCTGTGCCGCAGACCAGGAGGCCAGAGAAAGGTGGGGGGCTATCTCCAGTGGGCGCATGAGGCTTAGGTGCTGAGCAGGAGCTCTGGGGGTGCCAGAATGAACAGAGCAAAGAGGATTCACACTGAGATGAGATTCGAGAGGTGTCGCTCCCCTGTCTGCGGTCAAGGCGTGCTTTCCAAGGGCTAAATTCTATATACCCTACCACCAGTAAAAGACCAGCTTTGGGGATTTGTAATCAGGAGCTCCCGGCTCTTTAGAATAGGCTTTTTTCATTTCCCAAGGCTTCCCCCTTCCCTCACTCCGCTGGTACGCCTTTAAGAAGAGCATGTGAAGACTGGCAGCTGGCAGCTGGCAGCTGGCGTCCAGATGACTCTGCTGGACTCACCAGTGGCCCTGAGGAGCAGCTGTGGGAGGCTCCTACATGGGCGCATCCATTGTGAAGTAGTGAGCCTGCTGTCAAGGGAGGCATGCAAGCAAAGGTGGGACACCCACACAGAACTGGCAGAGGAAGCGCAGGGTTGGTGGGCTGGAGACTCTGGCCACGTTCGGGTGACGTGCATGGCCCCGTCCTGGCCTCTCACTGGCAGGCAGCCTTCTCCACCTGAGCGCGGTCATCCGGCTTCGTGTTGCAAGTGGCTGGTGCAAGCGTGTAACCAGGTCGCCGCGAGTCCAGCATCTTAATTCAGTGTGACTCGAAGCCAGACTCCCCTTCCTGACGAGACTCAAAAATCACCCAGAGAACGCTAAATGTTCGTCTTCTCAGCCAAATTCATGCCCTTGCTTTACGACGGCTTGGATAATCTGTGACTGGTCCTCTCTGCTCTCAAGACAGGAAGGTTTGTTTTCTTCGCATTGATAACAGGACCTGCACAGGGGTCTCTAAGCATCGCCTCCGAAACCACATGGGTCTCCATGCGAGTCAGGGGCTACGGTTACAAGTTCCAGCTAACCTGATAGCAGATCCCAGAGCAGGGCCACCAGGGTCCTGAGCCCTGGGCTCACACACACATGCAGGAGCCTCCCGGAGTCCAGAAAAGGAAGAAGGGACCGAGGGCCAGAGAGGCCCTGGGGCTTGCTGTGCCCCGGGTGAGGCTGTACGAGGAAGGTCTCCGGCTCTTGGTCCGGGTGCACTGGCCTGTTGGGGGGCGTCCCAGGAGCCTCAGCACAGACGGTGGTGCTGCCGGGACCAGACACAGACCGGACAGGGTCCAGGTGTCCTGGCGGAGCATCTCTGGGACAGGTGGGGCTGCCAGCCTCCCCTGCGGGCGGGGCCTGCTCTCTGCATTCCACCAACCTGGTGAGCACGGGATAACCAAGCGCACTCTGAGAGGGGGTGGGAGGCACAGAGCCCCGGCTCTGACCTCGGGCAGCCCACTTGGTGGGTTACTAGCTGGGAGACTTCGGGGAGCCCCTGGCAGTCCCCAACCTCAGTTTCCCCAGGAGCCGCCCACTCTCCAAAGATGTGAAGCTCTCCGGCAGCTGTGAGCTGTCAGCGGTGAAGCCGGCACCGTCCCTGCCTTATGCCCGGCAAGCATAATCACAAGCCAGGGGCCGGGGGGGCAGTGGGCTAGGCCTCCAGCGGCCAGCCTCAGCCAGCATGGGCATAGGGCTGCCCAGATTAGAGCCGCCTGGGCGTATTCCCTGAATGAGGCGGGGGGTGGGACCCAAGGCAATGGAGAGGAGGCTCCTCCTCCCCCCGCCCCTCCTCCCCCTCATTCCTCCCCTTCTCCCCCTCCTCCACCCCTCCTCCGCCGTCCTCCCAGCCCTGGCCCCTGGAGCCTTAGCCACAGACCCTGACTTTCTCAAGCCCAGATCAACAGCACAGCCCTCTGCCTAAGCCCAGACACCCGTCACGCGTGGAGCCACGTTGCTGCCTTCCCCGGTCTGGGTCAGCACTGCCCCAGAGGTCCAGCCTTCCCAGGACACCTCCTCCACGGGGGTCCCCATCACAGCCCCAGGCCACGGTCAACCTCCACTGGGGTCTGCTTGGTGCTGTGAGCGATCCCTTGTTCCAGGAAAACTGGGGTTCCCCAAGGGCAAGCCCAGAGCACCCCCATCTTACTTCCTCCCAGGGGTCCCACAAGACCTCAGCACAGGTCAGAGGTCACTGGGATCCCCCCATGGTCCTGTGGGAACCTTCCCATCCCTGAGCTCTGCAACTGGTCAGAGCCTCTCTCCCGAGACATTTGGGAATTGGGGCCGGGTCGGGGAGGGGGGAGGGGGGCGTGGTGTGAATCCCCCAGGACTGCTGGAGCCCTAATCTGAGGCTGACCTGTGACTCAGCACCCCATCCCACACCCTGGGTCAGATCCAAACAGGGAACTGTCCACGCTGACTCAGAGGTCAAAGGGGAGAGGCTCTGCAAGGCGTGGGAGGGAGAGGCCAGCTGGCCGGCGCTGAGGACCAAGGAAAGACGCCCCGAATTGCCAGGGACTGCATGTGAACCCTACAGAACCCTCCTGAGGCTCCCCTTCCAGAGGTGGGGTGGCTTTTGGAGACGGTCACAGGTGCCGGCAGGCTGAGCTCCCAGAAGTGGCCGTTGCCGGCTGGCCCTCCAGCCCTGGCCAGTGTCTTGGGCAGCCCCCCATCTGCAGATGCCCCATCCCCCGCCATCCACCTCCAGGGCCTCAGCCCGCCTGCAGCGGCAGGGGCATGTGGCTCTGACCGTGACCTGAGGTGCGGGCTGTGGGAGCTGCCAGCATCCTCCCCAGTGTGAGCACCATAAACCTGAGTGGAAGTCTCGTGTCCAAGGGCAGGAGGGGCTGAGCAGGAGCGGGGACCCGCATCCCAGGAGAGCGGAGCCCACTCACCTGAGGGAGACGAAGGCAGAGCCGCCGCCTGAGCCCCGGGCACAGGGCAGCCCAGGTGGGCGAGGGGCCAGGGCGCAGCCAGCAGCTCAGCCCCGCTCACCTCCCTCCACCCCCGCCCCTGGCAGCAGCCACTCTGCCCTCCCCGCCCCCACCGGGGGCCACCCCACCCCACCCCCGGGTGTATAAACACACCAGGGAAACGGCGCAACAAAAAAGCACACCCTCACCCAGCCCCCGGAACCAACAGGCAGCTTCGGGAACACCATCCACGAGCCGGGGAGGGCCCCGGGCACCCGGAGCGGGAACTGACCGCAGGGAGGCCGGGGCCAGTCACTCAGGAAACACGCTCCCGAGACGGAGACCAGGCCAGAAACGCACCAAGGACAGCAGGAGAGGCCAAGAGTAGAGTGGACGCCGGGGAAGGTTCAGAGACGGCCACGAGACACACAGGGGTCAGGGCGGAGGCCTGGGCCTGATCACAGAGGCAGGGCGGGGACGCAGAGGGGAGCGAGAGTCCGCAGTCAGACTCGGAGGAGGCCCTCACCCCACAGGAGCACACGCGCCTCGGGTTGGAAGGGTAAACAGACGAGGCACACGCGCACATTACAAAGAGACTGGGGACAAATTCTACACGGTCTCAGAAAAGCTGTTAACCTGTGAGACAGCTGCTATCAGATTATCCAATGGCCCAGCGAAACTGTGAACCAGTGTTTTCAGAGATCTGAAAGAAAGTAAATCAACCTAGAATTTCGAGCTCGGCTAAACCAGCACCCAAGTGTGAGGTGGGGAGCCTGCGGGTGACCCCAGTGTCTGCCTTGAAAACAGTGTCCCAGAAACAGTGAAGAAGAGGGGAAGGAGCGTGGGAGGGCTGCAGGTACCCAGGTATGTACACAGGGCCCTGAGGTCGGAGGACCACAGAGATGGGCCTGGCCGTGACCTGGGGAGAGCTGATGAGGCCACAGCCTGGGGCATGTGGGCGGAGCTGCCACCGCCCTGATTCCAAGGGAAGGGGCCTGAAGGGAAACTGCTAAGAGAGAGGCAGCGAAGGAAGTCAGAAATTTCTAGAAGGATGATTCCCTCACTAGGACTTTTACAAATTGAATCAAAGCCACACAAAATGTCCTCTGAGTCCTGTCAGTGGGAAAATGAGAAGGCAAGGATGACCACAGCCTTAGAGGGGGCAGGGGGTCCGGGGACCCTTGCACACCGGGGCCTGGGGTTTGATCCTGCTCTGAGGGAGCAGGGGGCGGGGCTTTGACAGGCAATGTTAAAGGTCTTTGTAGGTTGAATGCCCTTTGCCCCACAGATTCCAGTGTTAGGAATTTCTTGTAAGCAAACAGAAAAAATTGGGCAGAGATGGTGTCTAAGAGTATCCTCCTTCTCCAGCTCCTGGTGGGCAGCTATCAGAAATGGGCGACCTCCTGCAGATGCTGCTCCGGCACTGGCAGGGCGGTGCTGCGGGCACAGTGACACAGAAGGGCCCCTGGGCACCACGCTGGGGAAACAGCGCGTGCAATCCGGTCCCGCTTTCACGTGTGTTTATCTGGCTGTTGGGAGCCGGGAAAGGCCAGGAGGGCAATGTGCCAGGAGCCACGGCAACCGGGCCAGGAGGTGCCAAGATCAGGGCAGCATCGCTCACATGTCTCTGGATCCTCTGCCTTGTTTAAAACAAGCAAATGTTGATTTTGTAAAATGGAAAGAAGTTCTTCCTATTAAAAACATTTTTAGTGGCCTGGAGGGTGTCCTTGGCAATTTTGGCAGAGGCCTTGGCCAGATCATACTCCAAATCACTCAAGTCTGGACTCCTGGCCAGAAAGTAACCCCCATGGGGGTCCAGAAGGGACCCTGAGCTGTTATCACCATCACCCAACAGCGGGGGAGTGGAGTCAGGAGCATGAGACCCCTCCCAACAGCCACGCAGCCTCAAGGACAAAGCTAAGTGTCAGAGTCCTCACTCCCAGGGAGACAAAGCCATTTTATTAGGTGAAGGAGTTTGGGGGCAACCCTCTAACTCTCCTCAGTCATCGACTCTTTGCAACCCCATGGACTGCAGCACACCAGGCCTCCCTGTCCATCACCAACTCCCGGAGTCCACCCAAACTCATGTCCATTGAGTTGGTGATGGCATCCAACCATCTCATCCTATGTCATCCCCTTCTCCTCCCACCTTCAATCTTTCTCAGCATCAGGGTCTTTTTCAATGAGTCAGCTCTTCACATCAGATGGCTAAAGTATTGGAGTTTCAGCTTCAGCATCAGTCCTTCCAATCAATCTTCAAGACTGATTTCCTTTAGGATTGACTGGTTTAATATCCTTGCAGTCCAAGGGACTCTCAAGAGTCTTCTCCAACACAACAGTTCAAAAACACCAATTCTTCGGCTCTCAGCTTTCTTTATAGTCCCAACTCTCACATCCATACATGACTACTGGAAAAACCATAGCTTTGACTAGATGGACCTTTGTCGGCAAAGGGAAGTGTCTGCATGAATTCAAAGACTTGCATCCAAAAATCAACCCCAAATATCTGTTGAGCCTCCAGGCCCTGTGCAGAGAAGTCAGCTGGAGGGAGGGCACAGATAGGAGAGCATCCTTGGGTCTGCCCCTCCCCCAGAAGCCGGGCCACAGAGGCTGGACCAGTCAGGCAGCTCCACGGGAGTCAGGCTCCTCTCGCTGGACCATCTTCAAGGAACCAGAAGCTTTCCTGCGTAGCAGTGAGGCCTTCAGAGACTGCTCACCCCACACCCCGTTTTCTGGGGGGGGAAATGGGGGCTGACTCAGTGCTGGTCGTGGCTGTGCTGCATACCTGCTTCCCCAGCCCGTGGGGACCTTCTGTGCCACCAGCAAGAGCTGAAATGCTGCCCCGGGGCACCTAGAACTAAGTCTCTTCAGCTACCCTGCAGCAGGGCTCCCACGAATAATATGTCAGGAGTCAGGCGGGTCTGGAGAACACCTCCCCAGAATCCGATGGGGTGGGGGTGGGGGGGGGGTCCCATCTGTCTGTCCTCCTGCAAGGGCTAGGGCTCTGGATCAGGCCTGTGGCTCTGGGTTAAATGCCTGAGCAAGCGACGCCACCCTGCCTGGCCCCCAAAGGGTCAGAAATGCCTGGGCCATCACGGGCACAAAAGCCCACCTGCCCAGCTCCCCCAGCATGTTTGTCTGTCCCAGCCGCAGCGGGGCCACAGCCCGGCTACCCTGGGACTGTCCTCAAGGGCTGTGCTCTCCCCGCGGGGCAGGACCCTCAGCCAGGCCCCCGGCCGACAGACAAGGACATGAGCCTGAGGGGCACACGGGTCCCTGGGTGGCATAGGGCCAGCTGGGGGGTCTCAGGGTGAAGCCCTCGTTCCCTCAGGCTGTCCCTGCAGCTGGGGGTGCCCTGGGGACCCCAAAACCCCAGGTCCCCAAGAAGAGCCTGGGATCTGCCATTTGACACGCCCCTCCAGACGCAGCCTGAAAGGTGGTCCAGACATCCGTCCCGGAGAGCAGGCTGTTTACAGGGGCTTCCAACCACACTCAAGGAATCGCAGGTGAAATAACTCATGATTTTTAGATGGCAACTAGGAAATGTGTGAAGACTCCCTGGAGGGGCTGCTAGGAAGTGGCTGGGGGGGGCGGGGAGGGCCAGGGGGCGGTGCAGGCTGTGACCTTCCAAGCCCCTCCCACCCAGGTGCACCCTGCTCAGGTTGTGCGTGTGGGAGGGTGGGCTTTGTCATCGAAAGGCTGCCTGAGCCCCACACATTCGTGTGTCTCATGGACTCTTCTGGAAAATGAGACATTACACCGCCCCACCTCAGGGGCAGCCTGGGAGGGGCCCTTCGAGGCCCCTGTCTCGTGCCGATTCAGCCAGAGTCCCGGCTGATACACCCAGGCCCCCCAGCTACGGCAGCAGGATCACCTAGGTCTGCAGAGCGGCCACTGCAGGAACAGGCTGCTCCCCCTCAAGTGCGTGTTTGGGGCGGGAGGTCTGGGGGTCTGCCCCGGGTTCCCTCACCCCTCCATTCACGCATTCACTCCCTCGCACTTCCTGAGGCCCATCTGCAGCTGGCCCGGGGCTGAGTGTGCTTCTGCAGAACGTGGTAAGGGGCAGGTGCCCCAGCAGTGCCCAGAGACAGCAGACTGAGCGCAGGGGTTCATTTAAACAACACGGGCGCAGCGGCTGCGTGAGGAGTAGGCGTTGCCGGGTCAGATATGGAGACGTGACGGAGGGGCCCACACCTGCCTGGGACTCCGGGCCGAGCTCGCCCCCCAGGAAGGGGGCTCCAAGGAGAAAGAGAAGCAGCGAGACTCTCGGCCTGCATGGGAGGCTGGTCTGGCAGAGGGGACTTGAAGGACCTCAAGCATCTGGCTGCCCAACAAACGTGGCTAATTTCCGAGGCCAACAAAACAGTGTTTTCCCAAAAGCCAAGCCTGTTTGGAGCTCAGATGTGTCCGGAAGTCACGCTACTGTCCCTGCAAGTAGCCAGGCCCCGCTGAGCCTGACCGCCCACCGTCGGGGGCTGGGTTTGAGGGCAGCAGAAGCCACGAGTCACTCCGTGGGCCTCCCCCCACCAAGGCTGGACGTCCATCACACGCTGAATGAAGCATCGGAGCACGGACCGCGGTGACCAGCTGTCATCCAGCCCCGACGTCTGGTGGGTAGGAGGGGAGGGCCCTGACATGGTCCCCGGGGCAGGACGCAGGGCTGAGCCCGGGAGAAGCTGCCTCCGTCTCCCCTGTGAGGTCGCACCCCAAGATGGTCTGTCTGTGTAAGCTTGGGCTTCAGCGTAATTGGAAATTGATTTTCTTGTACTCTGTGGCCCCTAGATTTCAAAAGGTCTCTTTTCAGACCCTGGCTGGAGTGCCCCATGTCCTGCCAGCCCCCACGCCCGGCTGGCGCGCAGGGTGTCCTCACCAGCACCGACATAATTGGGTTCCTGGACCCCGAGTCCACCGTGAAGCCTCATCATGGAAGATCTCCCTGCCTGGCCCCACTGCTTTCCAAAGAGAGACGTTGCCTCTGGTACAGCAGGGGCGGCCTGGACCCAGGGGAGTCTGGGGAGAACAGATGCGTGTCCGCGTGTGGCCGAGCCGCTCTCGGTGCCCCGCCACAACGACGGTGGTCGGCTGTACTCTGATACAAAACAAAAAGATGGTTTTTTAAAAAAGAAAAGAGATGGGGATCACTGGGCAGGAATCTGCAGGGCAGCCCCACCCGGTCCACACCCGCATGTCAAGCTTAAGAGCTCTGGCCGACGCCCAGCGCGGTGGTGGGCAGGGAGCTGGCGGCCGCTGGCCCGTGAGTGGCTGGGTCCTGCGTCTCGGTCGCCCTCCCTTCCCTGCACCGCAGCCACAAGCTCGATGCTCCACGGACGCTCTCGCTCCTGACACCTGCCGGCTCCACCAGACCCGACTCTGAGCCCTCTGTTCTCCTGGCCCAGCTGAGACCAGCGCAGGGGGCAGATCACAGAGACCCTGCCCCACCCCCAGAGGCAGAGACACCCCTGTTTTCAAGGGAGAAATGGGCTCAGAGAGGCTGAGTGACTCTGGAAGGTTTGCCCAGCTGGTGGGCGAGGGGAGCGTCCTGCACGCCATTCCCAGGGACTCTGCTGATCACCTCAACCGGACGTGAGTGTCCAGCCACAGCCATTCTCAGCCACACCAGCCCAGCTCTGAGCCCCCAAACCGCCCAGCACCCCAATAGCACATGACCCCCTCCCGCGCTCCTGGCTCACTGGGGCCGGGGTGCAGGGGCGCTCTGGGGACACGGGTGATGGGGTTGGCCTCCCTTCCCGTGCTGCCCTGCGCCAGCCCTGGCCTCCCCGTGGTCCCCTCCCACCAGATCACAGCGAGGCCAGGCTCCCCGGCAAGCCGGCCTGCGGTCGGAACAGGATGGCTGGAGCCGCTCCCAAGGCTCCCGGAGCGGACGGGGCTCGCCCGCGGGGCTGAGCGCAAGTCCCCAGCCGGGGAGCCAGAGGCGGGGGTGGCCGCACTGCCAGGGGCCATGGTGGGCCACGCTGCGGGCTCTGCCACCCCTCTGTCAGAACCAGCAGGAATGCCAGGCCCCCTTTGCACCCCTGCCCCCTAAAGCCCCCAAGACCACCGACTTGGGCCTCCCCCCTCCCGGGAAGCAGAGAGAAAGGGGCCCGGCCCTCCTGCTGGTGGCCTCTGTGTAGGGACGGGGCAGAGGGGCAGCAGTCGGGGTCCCCCGTGTTCTGCCTGGTCGGGGGTCCCAGCCTCGAAGGAACCTCAGTGCCCTGCAATATCCCCCCCACCCCCACCCTGTGCCTCCACACGGCTGTCAGGACACCCAGGGTGGGCGGGCCACCCCCTTCTCACCTTCCTGACAGCACACGGATGTCTGGGGGGCTGGGGGCTTTTGGGGAGCCGGGTAGGCGGCCCCCCGAGCCACAGCGTCTGGGCCGCGCCTGCAGGACCTGGGTGCAGCCCACAGCCTGGCTTCGCTATTTCGCGTCTGCGGGCTCGGCTTGGCCGGAGCACAAAGGAGACTTTCTCGCTGTGCCCTGGCTCCTGCTCTGTTCTCCCCTCCACCCTGCGGCTTGGACGGCCCGAGACACGCGTGGCTCTAGGGCGGCTGTCACCCGGCTCCCCTGCCCGGCCAAGCCGTGGAGGGCGTGGGGGCCGGGGCGGCCTGGCCCCCCCAGGGTTCGGAGAAAAGGCCCTGCCGGCAGCTCCTCGCACCCCAGGCCCTGCCCTCCTTCGCTGAGCGCTGCGTGCTGCTGGAAATCGGCGCCATCTGAGGCTCCTGAGGGCTTATTCCCCAACCAGGACCCCCGCAGGCACAGGGACCCTCTCCTCCAAGACACACCACCCTCTGCAAGAACCAGCAGCACTGACCCCGTGCCCGCGGGCATGTCCGCGGGCGCTGACCACTGCTGGCAGCCCAGGCCTCGGACCAGCCTGCCCCGCTCTGAGCCCCCGTGTCCCCTCTCACGGCCACCTGAACCCAGAACCCTCCCTACCCTGAGCTGGCTGCACTCTGGACCCTGCACCCCAGCCCCCCAGGGAGGTCAGCCACCGCCAGGGGAGCCAGGCTGCCTCCCCCCACCCCCGGCACATCCCACCGGGCAGACACAGCCCTCCTGGCTGCCATGGCCCTTGGAAGATTTCCAGGGCCCTTCTGCCCGAGCTCGGGCCTCCTGCAGCTGAAAACAAGCAGCTCCAGAACCTGCGCCCCACATGGCCGACAGCCCCCTCTACCCTCCCCTGGGCCTGCAGAGAAGACCAAACCCAGACACCGCCCCCAGCCCTGTCCTTGGCGGGGAGGGCCCGGAGAAGGCCTCGGCCCGAGGGGACGCGGGTCTGCGTGAAAGATGCTCTTCCTGTCTGCGGAGGGAGCTGCTTCCTCCCGGACTTCCCCAAGGCCACAGGGTGCCGGGGGCCCTAAGCATCCCTCGTGGACGCTGGAGCTCCTGCCGGAAGCCTCTGCCGGCCAGGCCAGCCCAGAGTGCAGGGCAGTGCCCTGGGGGTCAGCCGTCTCTTCCCTGGGTGGCCCACAGAGCCCCCAGGGGCTACAGGAGGCGAACGGGGCGGGTTGGATTCCCAGGGCAGAGGACAGGCCTGGAAAGGAACGAAGGGAGGTGACTCTGCTCCCACCAAGGGGTCCTCATTGGCAGGGTTCCGGGGAGAACAGAAGGCCACAACTGCCCACTTGCCCAGCACGGCCCGACCCCGGGGGGCCTGAGAAGGGGAGGGGGAGGGGCGTCACAGGGCCAGAAACTTTCCCCAAGCCCCACACACATACGCACGCATGCACACCCAGGCGTGCACATGCATATACACACACACACAACACACAAACATGCTCCAAGCTTCAGAGACCTGCTCAGAAGTGGCAAGAGGAAAGGAAGTGATAGAGATTGCAGAGAGCTGAAAATAAAGCATTCAAGTCACCTGGAGGCTGAGTCACCAGCAAGACCCCAGAGCTCTGACCCCTGCCCATGCCATCCACCGCGCCAGGACGGGAGCTCCAGAGGCATGGGGTGGGGGTGACGAGGGGAGGGGGCCCTCTGGCCACCAGCCCTGAGTCTGGCCCCTGGGGACCAAGAGCTGACCTCTCGGACCCCACAGGACATGACAGGCATAAAGACCACGGGCTGTCCCCGGGGATCCCCCCACCACCCCCTCTCTGCTCTCAGCTGTGCCCCCCCAGGCTCCAGGGCCCCCTCCTGCGGGTGCTGGGTGCTCATCCAGCAGAAGACCCCAGAGGACCCCCACTGCTTCCCCGGGGGCCCCCTCCATCAACTCCCAGAGCCCTCCCCCGGCTGGGCCTGGGGGCGGCTTCCTCAGTGGGAGCCCAGGGCAGCCGGCTAAGCTCAGGACACCTGCGGGCGTGGGGCAGGGGGCGGAGGGCAGGCTCTGGGGCCCATCCTCAGTGTCCTGGGCTCCTCTCCAGGGCCCCACCCCCAGGGCCCGGGCCTGCCGGCTCCCCCCTGGCCCTGGACCGGGGCCCAGCCACCGTGTAGGCCAGGCCGCCTGGCTTTGGGCATTGTCTCTGGCTGCAAGGCCAGGGCAGCGAGCCAAGGCTCCTCAAGACTGTGCTGGTGAGGGCCTGGACACAGGGCTGGAGCGGACACAGCTCCTCTCGACAGAGTGAAGGCGACTCGGCCGGCTTTTCCAAGCCGCAGGCCTTGCTGACCCTGGCCGCTTCCCTCGGGACAGACCGAGGCCCCAGCTGAAGCCCCCGGGGTCGTCTCTACCGGGGGGACAGGCTCCGGAGGCCCCGAGCAGCAGCAGCTGGCCAGGGATGCAGCTCGTGGCAGCCCTGCCCCCACCGGGGGCCCAGCGAGGCCCACCCCGACCCCAGCCGGAGCAGCGGTGTCCCGCGGGGGCTCTGGGGCCGAGACAGAGAAGGGAGCATCCCCTTCCTAGACCAGACTCCCTGGAGCTCGGGGGATGGGAGCAGCACGGCCAGGGTCTGAGCTCGCGCTCCCAGAATAGCCGGGGTGCGGCCGTCAGCGAAGACCGGGCAGCTGACTTCACGCCACAGGCATCCCGGGAAGGGCCAGCTGTCTGCAGCCGCACCTGCGGGGCCAGAGCCGGAGCACGGCCCTCAGCGGCGGCCCTCACAGCAGGGGCAGGGGCCACGCGGGTCCCAGGAAGGGCCTCTGGGGCCTGGGGGGCTGACTCAGACCAGGGAGGGGCCCAGGGGAGGTGCCGCTCTGGCAGAGAGCTGGAGGCGACAGGGTGAACAGGTGCCAGGGACGGTGCCCCGCCAGCAGGGTGCTGGTGCAGAGGCCCTGCGGCCACCTCCTGCCGGATGGCAGACACGTCCGCACGGACATCGCCGAGGGGCAGGCGAGGCAGGGCGCAGAGCACGCGGCGGGGTTTGCACAGTTCCTTTAATGGCAGACCTTCTGTGGCAGTTGCCGAGGGTCTGTCATGCCCAGGTCCCACCTCTAAGACAAAGCAAGCAGGCGTGCTGAGGGTCTGGCAGTTGGGTAGAGCAGGAGGGCTGAGCCCAGACACAGATGCAGATCTTCCTGAGACGGAGCAGGTGACGTGAACCCCGAGTCCTGTCTGACCAGGGAGCTGGCCAGGGTCCCCCGGGGCTGCCAAGGGCCCCACTGGCTTGGACCTCTGGGGCTGGCCCTGGCCAGTCTGCGTTGGTTTCCTACTGAGGCTGTCCATACCTCTCTGGGTTTTCACTGGGTTGTGGCCACAGAAGCTTCTGGAACCTGGTACAGCAGCCCCCACTGCACAAACAAAAGGGTCTTCTCTGCTTCTGGACATGGATGCTGGCCCAGGGGCAGCCCCAGGGTTCTGGGCAGGCCAGGATCCCAGGACCGGGTGAGGCCAGGGACTGTTACTGAGGAGTCCCCTAGCTGCTGACCCCGAGAACTTCCTGCAGACTGCTGTGTGCAGAGGGGTGAGGAGGGCCTGGGCAGAGAGACAGGGGGCTCTGCTCCAGACCTGGGCAGTGGGTGGGCCCTCTTCAGGCCTTTGAGGTCCTGGGCTCACCCGCCCTGAGGCCTGAGGTGGCACAGGTCCCGAGCGGAACTCAGGTGGCACAGGTCCCGAGCGGAACTCCTGGAGAGGTCTCCTGCCCCCGGGGACGGCAGTGGGGGCGGGAGAGGACAGAATCGGGAAGAGGAGGGTTCGGGTGGGGGGATGGGGGAAGGGACGAGGGCTGGAGAGTCCCCAGCGCCGCCCCCAGCTCGCAAACCCCAGGGGACCGGACTCTGAGGCTTCCTCTTGGAAGGACCCCTCCTGTTCTCTTGACCTGGGTCCTCTAGGCCAGGGTGGGTCCCCTGACCCTCAGGTCCCAGGGGGCTGGGCCCAGGGTGCTGGGAACTGGAATCGAAGAGGCCATAACCTGATCTGGGAAGCCTGCTCCAGGAAGCCTCTAGGGCTGGCTGCAGGCCGGAGTCACCCACCCCGGCCCTGCTCCCACACCGGCTCTGATCAGACCAAGGCCAGGCCTCCAGCTGCAGACACTGTGGCCCCTGGAGCAGGCTCGGGGCCGCCACTCACAGGCCCCGCCGCACCCCTGGACACCGGGGGCCCTGCTGGCCCAGCCTGATCTGCCCTGCCCTGTCCTCCTCGTGGTCAGGAAGTCCTCTGGGCCTGAGGCTCCTGGCTGACTGTGAAGCTTCTGCAAGGCCACGGCCCTGCACCGTCCAGCCGACGTCCAGAGGTGACCAGGCCCCAGAAACAAGACGTGGAAGACGCACGCACAGCCCAGCAAGCCCAGGCTTAGCCATCTGTGCGAAGCTGCCCTATGCCCCCACCCAGGCCCAGGCCCAGAGGAGGAGGAGGAGACGAGGCCTGGCCCTGGGGCTCCTGATGCCCGCCGGGCTGTGGGGTTTGGACACCGAGGCCCGGCCGCATTCCTGAGAGACGACACAGCCGCCTGGTTATCACATCAGGCCCTGAGGAAGCCCACCCTGGGCCTCACAGTCGTGACACAGACATTCGCGGGACACACCTGCCCTCGGACACTCACAGGCCCTGCACGGGCCCGGCAGGCCTGGAGCAGGGAGTCGGGGTCCCCGGGGAGGAGGTCCTGGGCTCCTCGTCGGTGGGCAGTGAGGAGGGTCTGGTGGTGGCCGTCAGGGCCAAGAGCGGCCAGCCCCAGGCCTGGCTCAGTGGCCTCAGGCTCCGACTGTTTCCCCGCAGGGACCCCTCGACCCCCGAGAGCCCTCACTTTCTAGGCGCATCCTCATCAACTCTCAGCCCTGCCCCTGAGAGGGAGCCTCTGTCACTTTAAAGGGAGACGCAACTCCTAAAGCTTCCAAGGTTGACTTAAATCAGGTTTCTTGTACTATTCAAACACATTTAAATGTAAAATGATGTTTGCAAGCTAAACGTGAACAACAGCAGGGTGTGATGCTGTTGGGCAGACCTCACTTTCCTGGACCTTTGGAATCCCGTGCTCTCACCTCCTTGGAAGGAAGACTCGGTTTCCCCACTCTTCGGGAGCCCAGAGAAGCCTCAGAGCCGCCCCCCACCCCAGGACAGGGGCTCGGAAGGCGGAGGGAGGGGCCTGCGCCCACCGCCTGGGCACCTGGGGCCGCGGCTATGGACACAGCCGGTGTCCTCCGCACGGCGATGCCTGCGCCCCGCGTTTCTGATTCCACCCTGACAGCCATCTGCTCCTGTCCAGTCCCCAGCGCTCAGGGACAAGGCCAGCACGGCCACTCATGCCGCGCGTCTTGGTGCCACTACCCACACCTTGACAGCTCTGGAGTGCACGGGGGTGGGGTGGACTCCACGTTGTTAGAATGCCTCCCAGGGCAGCCCGACCAGTCTGCACTCAATGTCTGCAAGCTCCTGTCCCCCCAACCGCCGGCCTTGTCTGCGGGGCCTCTGTGCCCACCCAGCCGCTGCGCCTGGCTTCACTGTGGCTCACGCACACCTCCCTGTCTGCTATCAGCCCAGGCACATTTCGGTGAGGCCCACAGCCCTTTCGCGTCCTAGGAACTGCCAGCTGGGGCTCTGCCTGCTTCTCCGGCCTGTTGCCTGCTGCTGTGTGATTGCTTGGTGAGTGCTCTTTACATATTCTGGACCCAAAGCCCCCTCGGTTATATACGCTACAGACACCTGCCTCCATCCTGTGCCTTGTCTTCTTGGGGGTCTGGGGACCCTTCCTTCCCTTTTCACTCAGTCAGCGCTGCCCAGACGTTCGGGGTCTGGTGCCAAGTGGGAGGGCGCGGTCCGGCCCCCAGGACACCGCCAAGCGGGGGTGAGGCTGGACAGGGCCGAGCCTGGTGCAGTGGGGAGGCGTCACCTGCAGGGGCGGGCCTTGAGGAGAGAGACCGTCACACAGACAAGGGCGGTTGGGCTTTTACCCGTGAGCGGCTGGCGAGCGGGGTGCCCTCGGGAGGGCCTTGGTGCTGCAGCTCCCACCTGGCCTGGCTTCTACTCAGGAGCGAGAAGACGTGGGTGTCTGTGTGGCGTGTCCACAGGGTGCAGCCAGGGCTCAGAAGCGCACATCCTTTTGGGAAGCACCCTCTGGATGCCAGGGCCTCGGCTGCCCCCGCCCCGCCTCCCGGACGCTGACCCAGCTTGCAGCCGATCCAGGGGGACAGTGATGTCAGGAAAGGTAGGGAGACTGTTTCAGGTGCAGAGGGGTGACGCTCGGCACCCGAGAGCTCGACCAGCTGCTCACACAGGAGGCGAAGGGAGTCCTCTCTGCAGTCGGAGCAGGGGCCCCGGACACACACGGTCCAGGCCACTCTGCCCACAGGAGTGCAGAGAGCCTCATGCCTCACGATTGCAGTGTCTCAGTTACCACGCCAGGCACCAGAGCTGCAGGGCACGAGGCTGCCACCTGGCCGCCTCTCCTGGGGTGCTCAGCCCTCCTCGAAGGCCAGAGCACAGGCTCTCCACCATGACAGCCTCGCACCGAGTCCGCTCACCCCAACATCCCTGAGCGCCACCCAGCCCCACCTCTCCGCCCCCAGCCCCCGACAAGCACGGCTCTTCCTACTGTCTCCACAGTTGCGCCTTTCCAGAATGCCAGCGAGATGGAAGAAGCCCACAGCGAGCCTTTCCAAGCTGGCTTCTCCTCTCACTTAGGCACATGCATTCAGGCCTCCTCCGTGTCTTGTCACAGCTTGAAGGCTCATTTCTTTTTAGTGCTGAGTAATATTCCACTGTCTCGATGTATCCTGGTTTATTTACCCAGCACCAAAGGACATCTTGGTTGCTTTCAGTCTTGGCAATTATGAATAAAGCTGCTATAAACATCTGTGTGCAGGGACAGCTCATTTTTAAAATGGGCAAAAGACTTGAAAAGACACTCACAGAGCAGCAAATAAACACGTGGAGAAAAGTGTTCCGTACCCTTAGTCATCATGGAAATGCAAATTTAAACCACGATGATCGCCAGAATGGCTCAGACTAAAAGGTTCTCATGATGCTGAGCAAGGGGAGTGCTCATATGCTTTGCCTGAAGTGTGAATTGGTGCTATAATTTAGAAAACTGTTTGATGGTATTTTCCAAAGTTGGAAATGCTGTGTCCCGGTGATTCCTTTCCCAGAAATGCTTGCATATGTTCTCAACAGGACGCTGGCACAGAGGCACAGCAAGGGCATTCACCGTGGCCCTAAACTCTCAACATAATCGTCCACTGACAATACTGCAGAGAAATACTTTCAAACAATTATATAATCATCCAGTGGGACAGCAATAAAGAAAGGATAGACTTCTGCCTGTCATAACATGGAGGAACTTCACAAATACAACTGGAGCAAAAGAAACCACACACAAAAGAGCTGGCACTGTATGAATTCATTTACGTAAAATACAAACCCAGACAAAACCCACCGATGGTGACGGAAGTCAGAGAGTGGTAGCCTTTGTTGGGGGGGGCGGGGGTGGCCAGGAGAAGGAAGGGGCACCAAGGGCTCGTGGGAGTCTGTCCGGTGCCTTCGTCCAGGGGTGGTTCTTTGGGTGTGGTCACTTGTCAAATGCATCAGGCTGCATGTTGATAATCTGTGACCTTGTCTGCATGCATGTTACCCTTCAGGGAAAAGCTTACTAAAACACCCTGCCCGTAAAGATGTGTGTACTTGGAAGTTCAGGGACAATCTGCTCGCCGCAGACGCCACTGCAATCAGCAGCAAAGACAGCAACCGCTGAGCCCAGAAACGACGAGCAGCCAGCAGAGACGGCTGCGCCAGGCCCGCCGGAGGAGCACGACAGGAGCTGCAAGTCTGCATCCTGTGATTGCCGGATTGTCTTCACCAGGTCCTCAGACAGGGGAGTGGAAAGGCTTGGGAGACTTTTCACACGCCGTTCTTGCTTTACCACTCAGTCCCTCCCCGCTGGGAAGTCAGATCTGGAACGCAATCCTTGCCGTCCAAGGATGAAGCTTTCTTTCGGCTCCATGCTCTGATGAACCAGACGGGGGATCACTATTCAAGATCAGAGCATCCTCCATGCAGCTTGCAGCCAATTCTAGGAGATCCTGTGCTAGACGGGCCCAGGGGTCAGCCCCAAGTGGGGTGAGTGGGGCCGAGGGCACCTGAGCCGAAGCAGAGCGGCCAGCCAAGGGGGCGGAGGTGCAGGTGGAGGGCGTAGACGGGCACAGCACGGCCAGGCTGTCCTGGGGGCCACGTCCTTCACAGCCTCTCACCCCCGCCACTGGCCAGGTGCCCCAGAGGCCAGCCCCAGACTCTGGCCTGCGGTGCGTCAGCCTCAGACACCCCCAGCCTGCCGGCCACTGTCCGGCCCTGCTCACGGCCAGCTCCCCGCCTGCCGTCAGGAAAGGGAGGCCCCCAGCCACGTCTGGCTTCCTCCCTGTCCTCTCAGCTCAGACTCAAGCCCCCAGCGCTGCTCCCACCCCACCTCCAGAAATCACGTGCTCACTGCCGGGCCTGGGGACATGGGGCTGCTGGGTCAGTGGTGTTGCAGAGACACTTGGAGGCCAGGAGCGGGACTCGTCAGCGGGAGTCATAAACGAGCCCCGAAGGCCGCCAGGAGCGCCCACCGCCCCGAAGAGGGCCTCTGCGTCCCAGCCTGGACACTCGGCCCCAGCTGCCTTCCCTGGACGCGCTGTCTCACCGTCCCTTGCCTCCTCTTTCCTGTGCGGATCTCTCGGCTCACTGTGGGTCCCTGAGGGTGGAGCCTGTCCGGCAGCCCTGGGCCTGCCATCAGAGTGTGGCACTCACCCGGGCGTCCCTCCGGGGAAGTGAAGGAGGGGCTGAAGTGCAGGCCCAGCTCCTGGATCAGGCCAGCGGCCGTGGGGTCCCTGCAGGCCGCCCCTGTGAGGAGCAGCATGCAGAGCCCCGCTGGACATGGCCAGCACCTGAGTCTGGCGGCCTCCCCCCACCCTACTGTGCCCCCCCGCAGGCTGCCTGCTGGGTGGTCCCCGGTGGGCCTTGGGGTCCCCTGGGCCGGTGGTCCCGGGTGCGCCTTGGGGTCCCCTGGGCCGGTGGTCCCGGGTGGGCCTTGGGGTCTATAGGCCTGGGAGGCCTCTGCTCCTGTGCTCCGGCCCCACCATGGGGCCCAGCCCTCGACGGGTGCCGGACCAGGTCTGGCGGGGACGCCTGGTCCTCAGGGCTCAAAACACAGCTTGCAGCAGGCCCAGGGTCAGGCCCACCCAGGGGCGCTCTCAGGGCCCACAAGGGAGGGAGCCACGAGAGGACTGGGGCAGGCGTTGTTCTGGGGGGACACGAGTGCACCCTGATTCTCAGTAGAGCCGTTGTGAACACGCCCCTCACAGCCGGCCCGGAGGTGGGAGGAGACTCGCTGGGAGCCCACCTGAGGACAGGAGATGGGGGGTGGGAGCTCACTCGAGGACAGGAGATGGGGGGTGGGAGCTCACTCGAGGACAGGAGATGGGGGGTGCTCACTCGAGGACAGGAGATGAGGGTGGGTGGGAGCTCACTCGAGGACAGGAGATGGGGGGTGGGAGCTCACTCGAGGACAGGAGATGGGGGTGGGAGCTCACTCGAGGACAGGAGATGGGGGTGGGTGGGTGCCCACTCGAGGACAGGAGATGGAGGGGTGGGAGCTCACTCGAGGACAGGAGATGGGGGGTGGGTGCCCACTCGAGGACAGGAGATGAGGGGGTGGGAGCTCACTCGAGGACAGGAGATGGGGGGTGGGAGCTCACTCGAGGACAGGAGATGGGGGGTGCTCACTCGAGGACAGGAGATGAGGGTGGGTGGGAGCTCACTCGAGGACAGGAGATGGAGGGGTGGGAGCTCACTCGAGGACAGGAGATGGGGGGTGGGTGCTCACCCGAGGACAGGAGATGATGGGGGGATTCCCACAGGACCCCACAGCCTGCTTCACACCCACCACCAGCCTTGGCCCCACCCCGGCCCCTCCCGCACCGGCCCTGGGCTCCCCCAGGGGCAGGCCCTCAGCTGCACACCCGGCCAGGCCCCACGTGGGTTCCGCGATGGCCCGGCTCCAACCCGCACACATGTCCTGCTGTAAAAGGAAAGGGCTGGGCTGGCCTGTGAGCACGGCCCGGCTGGGAAGGCTCAAGGGGCCAGGCCGGCCCAGAGGACACCCGTCAGCCCTCCCCCAGACCTTGGGCCGCGGCAGGCCTGGAGAAGCAGGTGGCAAAGGGGGTGGAGAGGACTGGGGTCGGAGGGCCTCGGGGAGCCTGCGGGGGTCCCTCCCAGGGGGAGGCACAGGAGCACGATGATGCCGGGCGGCCGACCACAGGCTGCGGGGGACGAGTCCAGCCTGGGGACAGGGGGCAGGAAGGAGGCCCCAGTCCTGGAGGCAGGGGCAACAGAGGAGCTCTTGGAAGATCTTTGGAAACTCGGGGGAAGTGGGCAGCCCCAAAGGCCAGGTCAACACAAAACATCCAGGACAGCAGGCGTGCAGAGACGGACAGCAGAGGGGTGGTGGATGGGGTGGGGAAGGGCGGCGGGGAGGGGCCGCCCCCCAGCATGGGGGCTCCTTCTGGGGGTGATGGAGGTGCTCAGGAATTGGATGGTGGTGAACGTTGCACAACTGGGTGAACACGCGTAAAAGCCACTGAATTGCACTCTGTATGTGGGTGAGTTACATAGCGAGTGAATCAGTTCTCAAGGAAGCTGCTATTAAAACAACAGGGCAAACGCTTTCCCTGTTCCAGACCTGGACACGGCCATTTCACCAAAAATCCCTGGGGGTTCCCGTCCGTGCGGTGCTGTACAGACCCACGTGTGGGCACGTGTGCTCAGGCCGCCAGCTGTCTCAGCTTCCTGCCTTTTCCAGGTGGTGAGCTGGGAAACGCATGTGTTCGAGGGAAAAACAAGGATGAATTTATCTGGACACAACTCAGGTCTGACAGTCAGGATTTTAACCAACTTCTTCTCTTCTACCATGTCTCTTGTCTTTTACACTAAAAACCTTGGCTCCTAATCACTGAACTACTACTCTTTTGCATTCTTCTACAACAGATATAAACCTTGAAGAAGGAAATGGCAACCCATCCCAGTGTTCTTGCCTGGAAAATCCCATGGACAGAGGAGCCTGGCAGGCTACAGGCCATGGGGTCGCAAGAGTTGGACATGACTGAAGTGACTGAACACACACACGCAACAGATATAAACCATGCACACACGTGGTAAGCATTCACATAGGACTTCTAACAATTAAACAAAACTTCTCTGTAGCTCTGTTATCCTAGAACAGTCAAACAACTTAAAATCACAGATAAACATAATCTTGGTATTTCAATCAGAACATTCATGTTTCAATCGTATCTGAATACTGTGAATAAAGGAGGCTTAACATCTACCAACTCATTTCAAGACTGATGAATCACTGAACGTTAAAACAGTAGAGGCATGCGATCGCAGACAGCTGAATTATAAACCTCTCGGCTCCTGAGTCATCATCAACTGCCGAGTCAGCGCGTCCCCACCCCCCCAGATCCTCAGGGTTGGAAGGGGCCCCAGAAGTCGTCTCCACTGGAGAAATCCTGTCCGGAGGCCTGTGGCCGAGGCAGCCTCCACGCTCCCGCTGGCCGTGGCCCGGCAGAGGGGAGGCAGGGGCAGAGGGCAGGAGGGGGCGGCCCAGAGCCAGAGCCCTGAGAAGCAGCTCCTGACACGCCGCCTGCCGGGACCCTCTGCGGCCGCCGGGGGCCCAGGCACTGTGTCCACTCTGAACACACAAGAGGAGGCTTGCTCAGGCTCAGGGAGAGAGGGGGCGGGCGTAGGCCCTGCCAGGTCAGGAGCACCTGTTCCTCCCGTGGAAGGTGGGCCCTCCCCTTCACAGCCTCTCACCCAGCCTGCAGGAGGGTCCTCTCGGGCGGAAGACATGCCCAAAGGCGGCCAGAGCTGCAGGCCTTCCACAGACCAAACCCAGCAGGGCCAGCGCCGTCCACCCGACAGCATCTAGCAAAACAGGGTTCCAGCCTCCTGGACACACACACGGGGAAATGAGGCGGGCAGAGGGGCCGATACCCCCAGCCCTCTCGCATGGATGTCAAAGCCGTGACTTGCCAGTTCAGCCCTGAGCAAGGCGTCCAGAGTGCGGCCCAGCCACCAGGCCACCCACGAGGACCGTGGGTGCTCACCAGACCCAGGCAGCAGGAAGGCAGGACCCTTAGGGGCCCTGAGTGGCCTGCAAAGCCTCCAGCTGGGGCAGCGGATGGCCAGGAGGTCAGGCGGCCCTGGCCTGGAATATGAAGGGTCAGTGCTGGGCTCCATCCCGAGGGTGACCCAGGCCCCACCGCACCCGGGGAGGACCTGTCAGGCTGCAGCGTGGAAGGCCTGTGGCAGGGCCATCTGGAGGCTGAGCAGGAAGCAGAGCTGACCAGGCCTACGCAACGCAGGAGCTGAGGCTGCACGCGAGGGGGCTCCTCTGGAATCCCAGGGAGTCTGGCTCCCCTGAGAGCTTCTGGGGAGAAATTCCGGCAGCCACCATGGAGAGGTGTTGATGGCCAGGGTTCCCCAGCATCAGGCTGTCCTAGAGGCCGTGGAGAAAGGGTGGGCCCGGGAGCTGTGGCTATTCAGTCACTCAGTCATGTCAGACTCTTTGTGACCCCATGGACTGCAGCATGCCAGGCTTCTCTGTCCTTCACCATCTCCCAGAGTTTGCTCAAACTCATGCCTGTTGAGTGCAACCATCTCATCCTCTGTGGTCCCCTTCTTCTCCTGCCCTCAATCTTTCCCAGCACCAGGGTCTTTTCCAATTAGGGTTGCCCAGGAGAGGGGTCCCCGAGCGTGTCCCAGAGGTCAGGCCTGGCTGCCTGCTGGCTGCAGACAGCAGAGCTACAGAGGCCTCCATGTGGCCAGGCAGAAGGCTTAGGAACAAGCAGCCTGCTCTTCAGGGACATAGAGCCCCCCACCGCCCGCTTCCTTGGGGGTGCCCATCGGAGCCTCCCAGTCCCCCAGTTGCATTCCTGCAAAAACAGGAGCATGGAGAGTAGACAGGCTCATCTTATAAGATCAAGGCCCAAAGAGTTGGGTGTGGGAGACCTGCCCAGAGTGGCCCAACACCATCGGGGTCCGGGAGACCTCCCTCACACTCCGGACTCGGTCTGACCTCGGTGAGCTATGTGAGGGCTTTGGGTGGGGGCCTGGGGCAGAGCTGTGCTGGATTGTCTCTGGGGAATGACGTCAGCTGCGGGGGTGCTGGGTGGGGTGAGCCAGCCCCCCACCATCCTACCCTGCCAGCCCACCAGGGCTCAGAATGCAGGAGGAAGGAGCCACGGCACGGGAACAACGCCAGCAGCGAGACCCGCTTCTTAGTGTCTGAGACAAGCCTGGGCAGCCGGGGGCTTCCCGAACCTTCTATCTCACTGTGGCCACCCCAGGGAGGGCCGCGGGGTGTCCAGGTCCTTGGCCGTGGTCTTCCCCTGGTCAGAGGCCACAGGGCCGAGTCGCCACAAATACCCCCTTGGCAGCATCATCACAATGAGAAATCGCCACATAAAAAGTCCAAGACATACAGTGTTTGGTCCCAAATCTCTGAAGCTGCCATCATGTAGGTGGAATGCACTTTATCCAGATGTTTAGTCTCGAGCAGCTAGTAGGTTGGAAACTTAAGATGGCAGAGCCCGAGATGTCAATTGAGAAAGCAACTGAGAAAGCACCATCTCCCCTCCTGCTTAGGGAACAAACCAAGCTCACAGGAGACCCAGGCCAGCAGTGTGATGGAAGGTGGCTCCCTGGGGCGAGGGTAGTCCTTCGAGGGAGGAGGCCCCCCAACACCCTCCTGAACCTCATCTGAGGGCCGGTGGGGTCTGCGCTGGACGTGTGATGAGCGCTGGGACTGCAGACTTTCTGGTTTATTTTAGAATCCGCGCTGAGCAACCACAGATCCGCTGAGGCCGGGGGTCTCGCATCTCCCCACCAACACTGGCTTCTGCAGCCTCGGTGACGGAGGTGACGGGCTAGGGGCCCCAACACGGGTCCTTCAGCACCACCTGGGGACACACAGAGTGGCCTGGGCAGCTCACTGATGGAATCATGTCCCCCACTCACAAAGGTGACAGGGGGTGTGCACACAGCCCAGGGAGCCCGCCAGCCCAGCACCCTGGGGGCACGCAGCCAGCTGTGTCCCCAAGACGGTGACCCTGCAACAGGCCACTGAGGTCTCTGTGGACACTGCGTGCGCTGCCCAGACGCCCCTGCAGGACCGGGGGTGCACGAGAGGGAAAGGACGCACCCTGCACCTCAACCAGGTCCTGGGGCTCACACCCGAGGCTGCTGGGGGCTCAGCGGGCAGCCCCTCCCAGCGGGTGGTCTCCTTGGTGGAGGCTCCTACCTGGCCCGGGCCCCGAGCCACCCACTGCCCACCTCCACCAGAGGGGCTTGGCCACCGTGGGCGGGGCAGGAGAATGCCAGAGAATAGCTGCATCTCACCCCAAGGATGTGAGGTGTGGGTGCTGAGCTGTCCGTGGGAAGGACACAAAAGCTCCCGGCCACCTCCAGACCTCAGCCTCATCACCCGCGCCCCAGAGGCAGACCTCGGAGCCTGGTTACACAAGAGGGCCTTGGAGGGGGATCCTGGACTCAGGTGTCCAGGGGAGGCGAGGTCTGGCTTCCCTCTGACCCGGGCGAGTTAGGGCTCTCCTGGCCACCTTGGTTCCACCCCAAACCGCCCTGCGGCCGCACACCCTCCAGAGCTGAGTGTGGGCTCACGGCTCACCCAGCAGACCACGGGGCCTCAGGGGAGGAGGGGAGTGGGCCCCAGCACCCCAGGACACGCAGCCCGGCCTAGGCGGGCAGCACCACTCTGAGCTCTGCCCTCGCTCCTTCTAGAAGCAGGGCTGGCAGAGCGCGGAGGCTCAGGGCCGGGCCCCAGGAGGCCCGACTTCCTGCAGGCAAGCGGGGGCGGTAGCACCGGCTGGTGGACAGACGTCGTTAGGAAATCGACTTTTCCTCTTCTCTCTGCTCCCTGTTGGATTTCTGCCCTTGCCCCAGCCCCAGCCAGCGACCTGAGGGAGAGGGGCTGAGGCCGAACGCCCTGAGGACCTCGCCCTGCCGAGGAGCTGCGAGGTGGCCTTTCCCACCTTCACGGGGAGAGGCCTGTAGGGAGAGGCTGAGGTGCAAGGGGCCAGGGCCGTCCCCCCGTAGTGAGATCACACCCACCCGCGTGGGGCTCGGTGCCCACCCCCCCCCCGCTGCCTGCCCAAGCACGTCTCTACTTTCAACGGCACCTTCCTGCCGAGTGAGCTCCCAGGCCAGGGTCCCACGGGGACGGACCCCACCTGACTGACTGCGACAGCTCAGAGAAGATGCAGCCACGTGTGTGATGCTAACAGCGCCCGCATGAGGCGGGTTTGTGGAACTGGCCAGAAAGAGGGCAGCTGCTGGAAGGACTTCCGGGGGCCCCTCTCCTGGCAGCCCCTCCCCGCCCCAGGCAGCTGGGAAAGTGCCTGATCAGGCGCCCGCGGAGGGTTCAGCACGAGGCCTGGGGTCAGCGCCCTCCCTGGGGGAGGGGGGAGGGCAGCTACAGTAACTGACAGGCTCCAGGGGAGACCTGGGCACAGCTGCAAGGTCTGGGAAGTCAACGTCCACCCCACAGCCCCAGGAGGGCGCCCCGAGGGCGGTGGTCACTGCAGCAGGGCCCCCAGCCTGCCGGGAGGGGGTGGGGTCCTGTCTGGGGCCCCCTGCAGGCCCCCAGCACCCCTCCAGCCCTGCCCATCCAGGCTCAGAGGCCAGACAGGCCTGGGCCCCTCCACCCACGCCCACGGTCCCGCCTTTGTTCCCACGTCTTCAAAGAGAGCACAGGAAATGCCGCCCGCGTCCCTCCCTAAGCCTCCTGACATCTTGAACCACTTGGAGGATTCCAGCCCCGCTGTCCGCATTCACTCCCTGAAGCCCCAGCTCCCTCGGAGCGGCTAAAATCAGGGCCTGACCAGTTGGCCCTGCGTGCGTCCTGGCCTGTCCACCGAGGCTGAGGGAGGGGCCTCGGAGCTGCGCTGGTCCCCGGTCACCCACAGGGGCGGAGGGAAGGACGTGGGGCAGGGCAGAGGAGCACAGTGAACACCCCGAAACGGGAAACAGCAGGCCTGCCGCCGGCAGGCGGCTGGCTTTCCTCTCTGCCTTCTGTCTGGAGCCGTGTCCGAGTCTCTTCCACGCCAGGCAGGAGCACAGACACGCGCACAGAGCTGCCGCCTTGAGGGGCACCGCGGGCGGGGGCCTGGCACCGCCCGGGACCCAGGGCAGGCAGGGCGGGGAGGCTCAGGGCTCAGGGCCAGCGCTCCCGTGGGGCGTCGAGGAGCTGGGGCAAGACGCCGGTTCTCCGTGGGCCAGGCCAGGCCAGCCCCGTCACGGAGCCCCCAGGGGCTGCACCGCGGGCCCCGTGAGGCCTCAGGCCAGAGGGCCAGGCGGGCGGCCCCTCCACTTGCATCCAGAGGGTCTCCTGCCAGGCCCTCTAACTCAGGCCATTCACTGCAGTGCCGTTCAGTCACTCAGTAGTGTCCGGCTCTTTCCAACCCCATGGACCGCAGCACACCAGGCCCCCCTGCCCATCACCAACTCCTGGAGCTTACTCAAACTCATGTCCATGTGTCAGTGATGCCATTCAGCCATCTCATCGTCTGTTGTCCCCTTCTCCTCCTGCCTTCAATCTTTCCCAGCATCAGGGTCTTTTCCAATGAGTCAGCTCTCCCCATCAGGTGGCCAAAGTATTGGAGTTTCAGCTTCAGCATCAGTCCTTCCAATGAACACCCAGGACTGATCTCCTTTAGGATGGACTGGTTGGATCTCCTTGCAGTCCAAGGGACTCACAAGAGTCTTCTCCAACACCACGGTTCAAAAGCATCGATTCTTTGGTGCTCAGACTTCTTTATGGTCCAACTCTCACACCCACTCAGGCCATTCAGGCCTCCGCAGACCCCAAGGAGACCCAGGCGGTGTTCTGCGCCCACCTCCACTCAGCCTCCGGGAGCCTGGAGCTCCGGCAGGGACCTGCTCCCACGGAGGGTCATCTCCCCGACCCAGGAGAGGGGACAACAGCGAGTGGGGTCCCGAGTGCGCCCTCCCCCGATGCCCACCCCCAGGGGCAGGGCAGGGCATGACTCCCATGGCCCAGCCCTGCCTGGAGCCCAGCCGGGGTGGGGGTGAGGTGGGGTGAGGCAGCCCCCCCCCCAGGGTCCCCTCCAGGCCTGTGGAGGGCGGGCGCAGCCAGGCGGGGAGGCCGCGGGCATGGTCCCCTGGGGGCAGGGTGAGACCCAGAAGCAGCATCAGGCCCTCTGGGGTGACACCAGCCCATCGCTTACCGGGCGGGTCACTCAGGCCGGCAGCTGGACCTCTGAATCTGGTCTGCGGGGTGATGCCCGCTGGCCCGCGGGATCTGGTGAGGACTAAAGGAGCCGCTGTGAAAAGCCCCGCTCCCCCAGGCCCCACCTCCCAGCACGGGTGTGTGGCCACTGCCGTGACTGCTGGCACTGCAGACCAGGCATCCTGTCCCCCAGATGAAGCCGGGAGCCAGAGGAGGGCCCCGCCCCAGGCCCTCTGCCCAACCCCACAAGAGCGTCGCCTTCTCTGAGAACAGAGAGCAGTGGAGGGACCTGAGATCCCAGGAGAGTCAGGTCTGAACTGGGAGGAGGAGGCCCACCCGGGTCCCTGCAACTGTTGCACCCGAAGCCTGAAGGCGGGGCCGGCATGCCTGCCCAGACAGGGCCCGGCCCAGCGGGACCTGGAACTCAGACATCAAAGAAGCCAGGCTGCACCTCGCAGAGCGAGGCAGGCTGGAGCACGGAAGTCTGCCTCCCTGGCCGGCGATGAGCTGGTTCCCGAGAGTCGGGGCACCTAGCTCCCCGGCCCCACCCAGGGTCAAGGCCACTTGCCGGTGGGGGGCGCCCAGAGACCCTCTACCTGGGAGGGTGCCACCTCAGGGCGTGGAGCTGCTGCGGGGTGTGCCTGCCCTCTGAGTGGCCTATCCCAGGAGCACATGTGGGTCCTCAAGCGGACGTTTCAGAGAGCGGCCAGGGGACTCCCCTGCCTGCCCCGGGGGCACCCCGTGTGCGTGGACGTGGGCGCCCCCAGCCCTAACCCCGACACACACACGCACCGCGTGGACAGCCAGCTCATCAGGCCACAGCACCCAAGGGTCTGGGGGACAGCTGCCTGCCGCCCCTCACTTGTGGACAGGACGTGAGGGTGCCAGGGTCCCTGGCCGGGTGAGTCGCCTGTCTGACCACCCAGAGCAGGGCCGTCACTTGCGATCCAGACACTCTGCCTGGTGCCCAGCAGGCAGGCCAGAGGCTCCCCGGGGGGTATGGGCGCCTGGGACGCAGTGGCCACCAGAAGGGGCGGCAGGAGGTCTCAGTCCCACCATCCCGGGAAGCTGACCCAGCCCTTCTACCTCCGGGCGCCCCAGCAGACAGCGGCCTGTGGTCTCCACACAGGGGCCAGACTGCACTGGGAGCAGCCCCCAGGGATGGCAGAACCCGGCCCCAAGACAGGCTCCCCGTCCTGAGCCCCAGAAGCCGCAAGCGTGGCCCCCCCAGAGAGGACACTGCAGGTGGGACTACGTGCAGACCCCTGAGACCCAACTGTCCCCACGCGGGGCCTTGTGCGAGGGAGCCCCGAGGGCCAGAGAAGGAATCAGATGCGGAGTGAGGGGGCCACTGGCCACGGGGCACAGGTGCCTCCAGGAGCTGGAGGAGGCCAGGAAGCGACCCCACAGCCCCCCAGGGTCCCAGAGGACCCGGTCCTGCAGACCCCGCGGTTGTGGAGTCTGACCTCTGACCTGGAGAGAACGCAAGTGTTGCCTCAGCCACTGATCTGGGGGGCTCGGCCCCCAGGGGAGGCAGGGGAGGAGGTGGGGACTGTGCTCTTTGCCCCACCCCACCCCCACCCCATAAGGGCCGGCGGGGGCAGGAGCGCCCACCCCCCCGGGGCCAGGGTGTGTCACCGGGAGACGGTGGATCTGGGAAGGGCTCAACTATGTGGTCTGGGTGTGTCCCGATTGTGAAAACTCAGCCGCCGGACGTGTCGATTTCACACTTCAGAAAAATCAGGGGTGAGAGGGAGGCCAGACAGGGCTGGGGCGGGGGCGGACAGGCGGGACGCGGGGAGGGGGGGCGGGGCTGGCCACGCACCTGGAGTCCGGCACACCTCTGCTCCGCGTGGGCACCCGCCATGGACAGGCCCTGGCTCCCACTCTGCGCCCACCACCAGCCCCCCACGGCCCCCTGGACCACGAGCGCCCACCCCGCCCGCGGTCAGCGCCCCTGAGGCTCGCAGCACAGCCGTGGCGGGGAGCCGCTCGGACCCCAGAGGCCGCCCCGGGCGCAGGCGCTCGGTCAGAGGCTGGGGTGGGGACACCTCGGACCAGCCTCGGGGGCTCCGCAGAGGCCACTCTGCCCCTTACGCCCCAGGGACCCTCCGTGGGCAGCTCAGGGCGTTGCTCCTCTCATTCCCAGAGATAAGGCCCCAGCCCAGCCCCACGCACCGTGTCTCCCCTCCCGGAACCCCTCCCCCAAAGCCTCGGTTTCCAGCCCGGCACCCCGGAGCCAGCTTCACCCCGCTCTCCTCCTCCCCGCCTCTCGGCAGGGCTCGCCCCACCCGGGTCCCCATGCACCCGCCCCGGAGGGCATGCCCGGCCCTGGAATGGGGGGCGCCCCAGCCCCCAGGCGGGGGCGGGGGACGTGAGCGCCGAAGTCGCGCTCCGCTCGGCGTGTGCAGCCCTGGAACGAGGGGAGCGTGGACGCAGCACCAGGAGCGTGAGCGCGCACGGCCACGGCCCGGACGCGCACGTCTCAGGCACGGCCGCCGGGGAAGACCCGTCGTCTCAGGATCTCCTTCGCTCTGCTGTAAACTTCTTTCCAAAGCGTGGGGCTCTCACAAGAAAGTGCGCCCTGGGCGCTGAGGAGCCATGCGCCAAACTAAGCTTTCTCCGTTCAAGGAAAACTAAAGTGACAGCTGCTTCCAGCACACAGTCAGAGCAGCCCTGAGTGATTAAACCGTCTGGGACGCAGGAAACAACTCTACGTATCAAAGCCTGAAAAAATCAAGGGGCGAGATGTACAAAAGTTTGTCTTAATACACACTGTGATCTTTTCTACAAAACTGTTCTTTTATATCAGATGCCATGCTTTACTTCCTGAATAAATTAATAAAAATTCAGACTGGCTACCTACAGCCAGCCAACTCATTGGAAAAGACCCTGATGCTGGGAAAGATCGAAGGCAGGAGGAGAAGGAGGTGACAGAGGATGAGATGGTTGGATGGCATCACTGACTCAGTGAGTAAACTCCCTGAGTAAACTCTGGGAGTTGGTGATGGACAGGGAGGCCTGGTGTGCTGCGTCCATGGGGTCACAGATTCGGACACCACGGAACACCGGCAACCCACAGTTGTCAGCGCTTGCCCAGAGTGTCCAGCTGTCCTGCGTGCCTCCACATGCTGGGAGCTGTGACCAGCTCTTCCTTGAGGACTTCTGGAAACACGTTCAAAGTTACAACATGCGGACCTTTGACTCTTCCTTTCTGAGAATTGTTTTTAAGAAAACAATTGTGAAAAGATGTGTATGGCAGGAACCTTTGCTATAATGATGAAAAAAACTAACAAAAAAGCCACCGGGACCCAGCTGGTGGAGGGAATAAATGGTCTCCCAACAGGGTGGGATAGGTTCACTGTCTGCATGTGGCCGAGAAAGCTGCTCCCGGGTTCCAGAAGTTACAGCAAGATCTCAGTTGTGTTAGGACAGAGCGGCAGTTCTCAGCCAGGGACGGGTTCCCACACCACACCCACCCCCCGGGGACACAGCCACATCTGGAGATGCTATGGGTATCACGACTCCTGCGTCTAGTGGGTGGACGGCACCTTCCCACAAAGCATGGGACAGTCCCCCACAGGGAGCATCAGTCAAGATGTTGAACATCTTGACATCTCAACATCAGTTGAGATGTTGAACATCTCAACATAGAGTCAAGGTTGAGAGACCCCAGAATACAGCCTTTGGGGAGTCTGAAAGTCTGCTGGCCACACCATTAACAAAGTCGGAATCCGAGATACAGGGGTGAGAGTGGAGGGTTCTGATGAGACTGACTCTACATATTGTTTGAATTTTCAATAGATTACTGTTTTACACGACAGGAGATTTGTCTCCAAAACACCGCGGTGTGTCCATTTCCCTCAAGGTTCCTACTAGGGCACAGCGCACTGTTTCACATGACCCCTGACCCCTCCTTCCAAAGCTCGTCTCTGCCTATTTGGATGAGAAGAGCGTGAGCTGAGGCTGTCTCCTTTCCCCCATTCCACTGGCTTCATTGAACTATAATTCACACAACCGTGAACTCCACTCAACCTAAAGTGCACAGTTTGATGGTTTTAACCCCTTCACAGAGTCATGCAGCCATCGCCACCATCTCACTTCTGAACATCCTCATCGTCCCCAAGAAGCTTCGTTCCACACTGCCCCCAAGCCCCGGGGAACCACAAACTTGCTCTGTCTCTTTAGGTTCATCTCCTCTGGGTATTTCATAAATGGAATCATACCACCTGTGGCCCGTGGGACTGGCTTCTTACACCTAGATAGTGGGTGCCGGGTGCACTCAGGTTATGACTCGGATCAGAACCCCAGTCCTTTTTGTGGCCAGGTAGTATTCCACTGTACAGATGGACCACACTGCTTATCGGTTCATCCGCCGTCGGGCGGCCTCTGTTGCTCGTTTGCTCCTTCTGGCTACAGCGAACGACGCCCACGTACAAGTCTCCGCAGGAACATGTGTTTTCATTTCTCTTGAGCACACACTCTGGTGGAGTGGCACTGCCGGTCACGAGGTAATGCATGTTTAACCTTCCAGCGAACCGTGGGACTGTTCCAACGCAGCTCCACTAGCAATGCACGACATCCCCATTTCTCCATCTCAGACGCATCCTTCTGCTCTTAAACAGGAACCTTCCAGGAGTGCAGGCGCTTGACAGCAGCCGCCCCACAGACCCCGAGAGGAGAAAGCGCTGGCTACCTTGTCAAACTCTATGCACATAACTGTGGAAAAACTGGATAAAGTGGGCACTCTCCTAGGAAACATAATTTACCAAAACTAACAAAAGCGGGGGGGTGGAGATATCTAAATAGAATAATTGCCAGAAGAAAGAGAAGCAGGGCTTACTTCAAGGGCAGTTACTGGCATAGCTCATGGATTTGATGAAGACATTTGATGAAATGTAACATTCATACTCATTTAAAGTTTTAAAAGGTAATGAAACAGAAAGAGGTAGAAACCTCTGTCACATGATAAAGACAGCTACCTCAGCCCCACACCAGCATCATCCTGCTTGATGGGGAAACAGTTACCTTTGTCCCCAAGACCTAAGGAAGAGAAAGCCAGCATCTGCCCTACGTTTGGTGAGAGAAGAAAGCATGCATGCATGCATGCATGCTCTGTCGTGTCCAACTCTTTGTGACCCCATGGACTGTAGTCCACCAAGCTCCTCTGTCATGGGATTCTCCAGGCAAGAATCCTGGAGTGGGTTGTCATTCCCTTCTCCAGGGCATCTTCGCGACCCAGGGATCAAACCCATGTCTCTTGAATCTCCTGCACAGGCAGGCTGATTCTTTACCACTGGGAAGCCTGAGAAAAAACCAGGGGCATTCAAATTGAAAAGAGAAAGGTATAACTAGTACTATTTTCAGAATATATGATTACATACTTGGAGAAATAAATAAAATCAGCTGAATACTGTTATAAACCAAAGGAGAATCTTGCATGATGACCAAGTCTAAAAATGCTATATAGGAATCTGTAGCTTTCATCAGTACTCCCAATAAAGAATTGTAGAAGATAAAATAGAAGATCCCACTTGAAATACAAGCAACAGAAACTGATAAACTCCCAAGGAATAAACTTATGAGACACGTACAAATTCTACATGAAGAAAATGTTTAAATACGTCTGGGAGACACAGATATGTTTTGAACAAATAAAAAGTCAGCCTGTGCCCTTGTGTGGACATGTTCAACATCATAAAGATGTCTGTTCTCCATGGCTTCATCTAAAACATTAATGTGATTCCAACGAAAACATCAATAAAATATTTGGAACAGAAAAGGAAAAGTTTAAACTAAAACATGTCGCAAGGCACCACTCGAAGATCAGGTGGTCCGTCACACGTGTAAGGAGGTAGGTGCTGGACAACGCAGTCTTGGGACCAACCCCAAACACGTGTGACCACGTCATGTATGCAGAGACAGACTGTTTGGCGTGTGACAGGGCCTGCTGGGACAGATGGAGCCGGCTGGGGGATAACTGAGATATAGATCTCACATTTGACACCAGAGAAGTCACAGACATTAATACAACGAAAGCATGAACGTTCAAAGGACCCGTGGGAAAATATTACATTTCCTCATCTCAGGGTGAAGAAGGCCTTTCTGCACAAGGCAACATCTGAAGCCACAAAAAAAATGTGGTACAAAGTAACTGCCTGGGGGACTTTCCTCATTTAGGATGGAAGAGGTGACCGGGGAACACCACCCCCACCATGATGTGAATAAGCCTTCAGAATCATCTTTGTGGGGTCCCTGGGGGGCAGAGGTGGAGGACAGCCTGGTGAATCCAGCAGACAAGACTGCCTTCGGCAGAGCAGCCAAGCTGGGAACAGAAAACAACTCGCGTTTCAACAAGTTCTGAGGACCCCTCGGGGAGCTGGCGTTCCGTTTGGAAGCCCCAGGGGTCCAGACCCAAGGGCGCATGCGCTAGCAGTCATGCTGATGTCCTGGGGACTGCCCTGGGCCTGGAGAGCCACCCCGCGGGACAGGGCAAGGGGTGTCCAGCCAGCCGGGTGGGGGGGTCAGGCTGCGTCTGCTTGCAGGCGGGCATCCTCTGAGGCAGGGGACGGGGACCCTCCTGCCTTCGGGAGCGGGATGGGGTTCAGGTAGACCCTGCCCTGGGTACCCAGGGGTGGGGAAACAGGCAGAGAGAGCCCTGGACGCCCCACACGTTCCATCTCGGGAAGCAGGTCCTGTGTCTGTCGTTTAGGTGGGGCGACCACCGAGGCTGAGTGGTGGTGTGGACAGGGGGACTGTCCCGGCAGCGCGTCAGCCCTGGGGGCATCGCGCAAACAGTCTCCCAGAACTCTCCAATGATCAGCAACCCCGTGAAGACAAGGAGAACAAACGCCAGCTCCGAGGAGCAGCTCCCACGCTGTTTCCCCTGCAGCCTCCATCCGGGGCAGCAGAAAAGGAAGCGGCCCTGCTTCCCAGGCGGCGCTGGCGGGAAAGAACCCGCCCGCCAAGGCAGAAGACGCATGTCCCATCCCTGGGTCGGGAAGATCCCCTGGAGGGGGGCATGGCTACCCACTCTAATAGCATTCCTGCCTGGAGAGTCCCGTGGACAGAAGAGCCTGGCCGCTACAGTCCAGGGGGTCACAGAGTCGGACCCGACTGAGCGTTGCTCACCAGCGGACACCCGCGCACAGCCTGGGCACAGGCTCTCCCCACCTGCTGACCCTCGGGCGCTCAGGGCACCAGCCCCCACGGCCACCAACCCTGCCCCCACCCCGCAGCCTCCAAGTTGACAGCTGCATTTCGAGCCCCGTCTCTCTGGTCCTTGCCCCCTCGACCCCCTAGATTAACCAGAGACCTTCCCTGAAGACCCTGGAGCTCTACAGGATGTGCCCGGCTGGAAAAGGAGAGGGGGTCCTTCTGGGAGGAGGATGGGCAGATCAGATGCGGGAGACCAAGGGCCTGCTGGCCCTGCCCCGGAAGGGAGCCTGTGGCCTGTTCAGACCTTCTCGTCCTGTGACTGATCCCAGGCCGGCCAAGAGGGGCTGGGGGAACTAGGCACGGAGCCTCCTGGGGCCTGCAGGCTCCATGAGACCACATCAGGGCCGTGGTGTCCCGACCCTCCCCACGGTTGCATGTCCCCAGCACATCTGGTCAGCACCCCACAGGGCACCCCTGCCCTTCTGCCTTCCTCCCCTTCCCATCCTTCACTGGGTACACTTCCCTGAAACCTGGAGGAAGAATCACCCTGACACAAGGGGGGTCCTCCCAAACCGCTCACCAAGCGCCCCGCCCCCAGGGCCAGGGTCTGCCCTCCCTTTCACCACCCAGAGCCAGGGTCTGCCCTGCCCTCCCCTCCTAACCCCCTGCCCCCTGCCCCGCCCTATCCCCCCCTCCCCTCCCTCTCCCCCCTCCCCTCTCCCTCCACCCCCCAGGGTCTGCCCCGCCCTCCCCCACCCCCAGAGCCAGGGTCTGCCACGCCCTCCCAGACCCTGCCCTGAGTCCAGGTCCCCAGGGACGGCCTGGGGACGGACAGCAGAGGCTTCTGTGGGGGGTCCTGGAGCTTGGAGCCTGGACGTCCTGGGAGCAGTGGTCAGTGCACGTGACCGCTCCGTTAAGCTTTGGTCTTGGTGGTTCGATCACACAGGAACCCAGGTGCTGCTAGGAAGACGTTTGCAGATAGGGCCGTCAGCCGACTTCAGTGACCCCCCACGCCCCAGGCAGCCCCCTGAAACCCCAAGTTGCTGATAACAGGTGTTCCCAGTTTCATTTCTCTGACACAGCGGGGCTGCAAGAGCGGGTTGAGAGCCCCCTTCCCGCAACACCCAGAAGATTTGCGGGCCTGTCCTCCTTATAGACTGAGTGGGGATCCCGGGGAGTCACCCTTCAATTAAGGCTTCTCTGCTAAAAGCAGAGCTTGCAAGCCACTGATGGAGCCAGACCTCAACAAGGCCCAGAAGGAGGCCAGGCTGGTCCAGGACAAAGCCAGGCGCTGCAATGCCCACGGCCGCAGCCTTGCTCCCCCGTGCAGGTACTGCGTGGGAGGAGCCAGCCGTGCGGGCCCAGGTGGGCGAGGGACCCTGCGGAGACCCCCTGCAGCTGCGCCAGCCACCTGCCCTCCTCGCTGCCTCGATCACTGGCAGGCAGCCCCAGGCCCGTCTTCAGTCCCCAGGGAGGATGGAGCCGCACTTCGGGAGGATCCCGGCCAGCCTGCTTCATTGCTCCCACTTTCTCCAGAAGGCGGCTGGTGTCGGGGCTGCAGGTGGCCCCCTCCACCCCCCACCTGCACTGACCCGGGCGGGGGCTCCAGGCCATTCCCCCCGGGGCCCACCATCACGTTCATCCCGGGCGGTGCATCTGGGGCCCTGGGGAGGAGGGATGATCCCTCTCCGCTCCCCGTCCAGGGAACCCCCCGGGAGGGCAGCCCCAGAGAAGGGGTGACCATAGTGAAACACATCAGAGGCAGAGAAGCCTCAGAAGAAAGCATGCCGGTCCCGACAGGGGTCCCTAGACACCCCCAGGGCCCGCTGGCGTGGCAGAGACTACTCCTGCGCACTGAGACACTCAGTCATGTCCGACTCTTTTGACCCCACGGACTGTAACTTGCCAGGCTCCTCTGTCCTGGGATTCTCCAGACAAGAATACTGGAGTGGTTTGCCATCTCCTCCTCCAGGGGATCTTCCCAACCCAGGGATCAAACTCACATCTCTTGCATTGAAGGTGGATTCTTTACCACTGAGTCACCTGGGAAACCCAGCAGAGAATCTGACCTCACCCAAAACAACCGGCCACTGCCCCCAACTTCCAGGAGGTGACCTCTGAGCCCTTTAAGGTTCCACCTGGTGGGGTGCCTTTGTTCACCTGGAGACCTTGGGCCATGCCAGATAGTGCCAACGTGGTTTGGGGTGCTGCCTTGGGCTCACGTGGTATCAGTTGACCTCACAAAGGCCTGGACCCTGAGGTCAGCCACTTGGACAGTCAATCAATGAATGCTCACATGAGGGCCCCAGGAAAACCTCTGGACTCAGGCTGGGTTGACAATCCTCCCCCACCATGTCCAGGACCCCCGGGATGGTAGGACAAGTCTTCTGCAGCAGCTCTGGGAGGTGGGCTCCAGGATTTTACCTGGCATGGGCTGGCAGAACCATCCCTGCGAGACCACTTCTGACATGAGTGGCAAGTTTGTTTTGGGAGTTGGGGGCAGTGGCTCAGTTGTTTTGGGCGAGGTCAGATTCTCTGAGTCAGTGGTAAAGAATCCACCCGAAATGCAGGAGATGCGGGCTCAATCCCTGGGTCGGGAAGATCCCCTGGAGGAGGAAATGGCGACCCACTCCAGTATTCTTGCCTGGGGAATGTCAGGGACAGGAGTATGCCAGGAGGCGCGCCATCCCAACTCCAGGAGAGGACCGTGGAGGCTTCCCGTCCGGTGTTTTCCTGGGCTCTGCCCCCAGCGTCTCCCCAGGCTGCCTTTAATCTCTGTCCTTTCCTGGGAGAAACCACAACCCTGAATGCAACAGCTTTGGTGAGTTCGGAGTCCTTCTAGTGAACCACAGTACTCCAGGGGGGCCCCAGGGACACCAACTTGCCACTCATGTTGGAAGCAGCATCACGTGGATGGTTCCTTCAACTTGTGCCGGGTAAACCCAAGATCCCTGGGCTTCCCTGTGGCTCAGTTGGTAAAGAATCCCACCTGCAATGCAGGAGACCACCTGCAACACAGGAGATGTGGGCTCGACCCCTGGGTCAGGCAGATCCCCTGAAGAAGGAAATGGCAGCCCACTCCAGTATTCTTGCCTGGAGAATCCCATAGACAGAGGAGCCTGGTGGGATACAGTCCACGGAGGCCACAAGAGTCAGACACGACTGAGCGACTAAACCACCACCGCCTCCCAGAGCTGCTGTGAGAGACTTGTCCTGCTGTCCCGGGGGTCCTGAACGTGGCGGGGGAGGCACTGGAGATCATCCACTTTCTCCCCTGAACACAAGCGCCTGTGTGGTAGGTGGGGTGAAGGTGGAGAGGGGTCTGTAAACACCTGAACGAGCGCTGGCACTGCCTCTCTGGGACTCAGTCTGCTGAGCTAGAGGACGGCACGGGGGGTGGGGGGTCCACCCACCTAGGCCACCCCCCAGGACACTGCGGTCATACTGGGGGGCCCGGCCAAGGCTCCACCTCCGCCCGGCGGGCCATCTGCACAGACCTCAAATTTCAAACAGAATCAAAGTCTTCTTAGAGTTTGGGCAAAATATCTTGTGATTTTTTTTTTTTTTTCTTTTCAAATAGTTTGGGCTTGGCAAGTCCTGAACTAGACTTTGCCAAGCGCTCCTTCCTCCTGTAATTTAAAGAAGAAAAAAAAAAAAGAAACGAAACCACTGTGCATTTCAAGGGAAACGTGGTCTGCGGGCCGGTTCTGCCACGTCATCAAAATCATGGTTTGGAGACTCGGTGTTGTGTCCAAGCGCATCTCAGAGGCCTTCCCCAACTTTGGTCCTTTACTATTTTATTTTATTTTTAATCCATCACTGAGGCGTTGTCTCTGCAGGGCATTAGAAGCTGGCCAGGCTGCAGGGAGCCAAAATCCCCTCCCCGGGGTGGCCAGGCGTAAGGGCTGCTCCCCGGGAGTCAGCGGGCAGAGTCAGCGGGCAGGGACAGCGAGTCCCCCACCCTGGGCGGGTGGGGACAGCCGGAGGCGGGGTCCTGGGTTGTGAGCAGCCGCCCCCGGTCGGCCTGTCCACTTCAGAGGTCAGGGACCCAACACACACTTTGCAGAGCCCCTCCACGTACCGGGCCAGACACACCCTAGCCGCCACCCACCGTGCCTACAGGGCCCCCGCGGGCTCTGCTCAGTGCTCCGGGGCCGCAGGGAGGGGCCTTGTGGTCACGGCTGCGCTTCACCTGCATCTTGTCCTCTGAGGCAAAGGCCAGAAGGACGGCCTCCTGGGTAAGCAGGCGCCAGGCAGAGGGGACCCTGGGGGCTGGGACCCCGGGGTGCTGCGATGCCAGGGGGCTGGGACCCCGGGGGGCTGGGATGCCAGGGGGCTGGGACCCCGGGGGGCTGGGATGCCAGGGGGCTGGGACCCCGGGGTGCTGGGATGCCAGGGGGCTGGGACCCTGGGGGCTGGGACCCCGGGGTGCTGGGATGCCAGGGGGCTGGGACCCTGGGGGCTGGGACCCCGGGGTGCTGTGATGCCAGGGGGCTGGGACCCCAGGGTGCTGGGATGCCAGGGGGCTGGGACCCCAGGGTGCTGGGATGCCAGGGGGCTGGGACCCCGGGGTGCTGGGACCCTGGGGGGCTGGGACCCTGGGGGGTTGGGACCCCGGGGTGCTGGGATGCCAGGGGGCTGGGACCCTGGGGGCTGGGACCCTGGGGGGCTGGGACCCTGGGGGGTTGGGACCCCGGGGTGCTGGGATGCCAGGGGGCTGGGACCCTGGGGGGCTGGGACCCCGGGGTGCTGGGATGCCAGGGGGCTGGGACCCCAGGGTGCTGGGATGCCAGGGGGCTGGGACCGTGGGGGCTGGGACACTGGGGAGCTGGGACCCCCGGGTGCTGGGATGCCAGGGGGCTGGGACCCTGGGGGGCTGGGACCCCAGGGTGCTGGGATGCCAGGGGGCTGGGACCGTGGGGGCTGGGACACTGGGGAGCTGGGACCCCCGGGTGCTGGGATGCCAGGGGGCTGGGACCCTGGGGGGCTGGGACCCCAGGGAGCTGGGACCCCGGGGTGCTGGGACCCCAGAGGGCTGGGACCCCGGGGGGCTGGGACCCCTGGAGAGCTGGGACCCTGGGGTGCTGGAATGCCAGGGGCTGGGACCCTGAAGGGCTGGGACCCCGGGGGGCTGGGATCCCAGGGTGCTGGGACCCCAGAGGGCTGGGACCCCTGGTTGAACTTTATTTCAGGACAGGCAGGCAGTGTCCCGAAGATGCCTTCACTGCCTGGGTTGCCCACCCCGCAGTGTATCTTTCACTGGCAGGTTTTCTGTGGCCCTTGGGGGAGGCAGGATCCAGCAGGCCCCCCAATAGCTGCCAATGGGCAGGTGGGTGCCAGGCCCCAGGGAGCCGCCGAGCCACACGCGCACGGGTAATGACAGGGCACCAGCCCGCTCATGGGTCCAGAGGCCAAGGGTCCCCATCTCTGAGCTGTGGTCTCTGCTCGGATAAGGGTTGCACAGTTTCATTTCCACCGTGTGGCCCGTTCTGTGGATCTGCCCAGGGCGCTGGCCCGCTGGGCACAGCAGGCCCACGAAGCCTGGCGCAGGCCAGCACCCAGACCTCCTGAGGGGAAGCCTCCGCCCTCCAGCCCCTGGGCAGCACTCAGCTGTGCACCCCAGGTCCAGTATTCCAGAGAACCGACTCTAGGAAGACATGGCGGGGGAGACCGGAGGCCCCTGGGTCTCAGAGGCTGGGCACAGGAAGGTGGCGGGGGAGACTCTGCCCGCTTGGGATACACAAGGCACTGGGCCTGCAGGCTATCCGGCGGGCTTCTGCTCAGAGACTCGCTCGTTCAGGACCCCCCTCCCGAGCAGGCGGGGGGCACAGAGTCCCTTCTGCAGGCCCGCACCCGTTTCCAGGCAATCCCTGGGAAAGCCACGCCAGGCTTCCCGAAGCAGGACGGTCCACTGTGCGTACAGGCGGTGCTGACCAGGTGCTGACAAGGGATACTGAGCAGGCCACGGGAGCCCAGGGCAGGCCGGGGGGGCCAGGGCTCTACAGGGCGCTTTCCAGACTGGGGGATGCTCAGGGCCAGAAGCTGGCTGAGGCAGGCCAGGCCCGACAGATAGCATCCCTCACACCTCGGCCAAACAGCAGCCAGAGGGACATGGGGGACAGAGCCACTGATGCCCCCCCCCACTAGTCCCGCAGAGTGGCCACCTACCCTCAGCCCAACGAGGAGGGAGAATTCACCCAGACCATCAGAACTGGGAGCTTCGGGGCTGACTGCAGCAAGCCACAGCCAGGATGGGGTGGAAAACGCCTGCATACACGTAGGGTTCAGTCCTGGGGTGGAAGGATGCTCAGTATCAGTACATCTATAAATATAACCCACGATGCTCAGTGAGGAGAAAAACATGA